CCATATAATATCACCACCATAACTGATGTTTTCTCTGTTAGCAACTAATTAGTATCTGTCACTTGGTAGTATTTGTTCTTTTGAGGAAGTTCAGATTCTGATATTGTCTGTAGTATAATGAATTTGTTTGTATGTTAGCTGAGAGGTGGAGCATGGAGTCATAGATGTATGAACAGATTTGTCATGTAATGACCTTCCTTGCTTTTCTGCTGCCCAGTGTTTCTTTCCACATCCCTAGTATGTGGGCACAGAAATGGTGACTCTCCTAAAGCCCTTCCTGAATCCCAGTTCCCTCTGAAGGGACTGAAGGAGCACTTGAGTTCCAACTGGTGAGCACTTGTAAACTTCTTTATTTTATATATACACTGACACTTTTTAGTATGGACAAATTGAGAGTTAGCATATTAACAAGGTATTTTTGGTGGCTAAAAAGAAAGAGCATTTATGCTATCAGTGGTGAACTGTGTAAAGTTAACTGTCATGTGCTGCAGCTGTGCATATGTTGCAGCTTTAACATCTCTCTGTTCCATCGGAGATTGTGATTTTGGTACTGTACAATGTTATGAATGAAAACCAGTAAATTAGGCTAAGGTACTTGGATGACAGATGATGGTGGGGAATGCACAGTCGTGTATTAGATTTTTCTAATCAAGTGGCAAGAAAAGTTATTTCAGGTAGTTTCAGGTGGTGTTTTGATTGCCAGTATAGGTGTGCAAGTTTTGGAAAGGAAGGAGTTTTGGTTTTTGGTTTGGTCTTGAAAGATGTCAGGGGAGAAGGGTGGGAAACCAGGTACTTTATTACAGCAATCTGATCTTAGCTAACTCAAAATTTGAACGTTTTATACTTTCAGAATTGAAGTAGTGTTAATGGAGATGCTAATTAAATGTGATAATTGCTAGGGAAAGTAGACAGTATTGCAAAATGGAGTATTCTTATTTCAGCCTATGTTAAATCTGTTTTTCAAGTCCAGTGTAGTTTTGAGCCCTTGTTGCAGTTCAAAATGTCTTGGATTCAGCAGTTGGGATATGGAAACAACTTACCAAAAGCATTAAAATGAATCCTTGTGTAACAGCATCTCAAATCTATAGTAGGCATTAAGTGAATTTTGAATTGGTTCTCAGACCCTTGCTCTTTGTGCTTTCTGGGGATTTTCATGCATTAGTAAGGAAGATGTGATTTTTGTTGGAAAGATTAGGACATAGCTGTGATATTTTAACCTTGCCTCTGACCTGCCCTGTGACTTGTTCATCACTAGGGAAAACTTGCTTACACAGTTGCACCACTACAGTTGTATATAACTGTAGCCCTTGTTGGCCATCTTCCAGTTAGGAGTACCTCTTTCCAGCTTTAACTGCTTTCAAAATAATGATTAAACTGAGGAAACTCACTGTGATAGTGCAGTAAACATTTCCATGGGGAATTTTGAAACTGAATTGGGGTATTTATATAACACGATATTAATTTCTTTATGGTGCACCAAAGATATATAATAGCAATAGCTAATTCTGAAAATGTGCTAATAAGGAGTGGGAAACCAAGTTTCTCTTTCCTGGAGAAAGTGTAGCTAGTAAGGAAGGTCTTAACTCTAAGGAGAAATGGTGAGAAGCGCCATGAGGAGCTGTCTCAAGGGACAGACAGTAGTATGCTCTGTACCTTATCAGGCCTGTTTCTGGGGTATGGACTAGTCTTGGCAATCCTGTTCTCATGATCTGCTTTGCCAGGCATGCAGCTGGGAGATGCAGAGCTGGTGGCAAGTCACAGCCACCTTAAAATGGCTTGGGGATAGGCTTTGCTAATTAGCATTCAGGTGAGGGGAACCCCCTTGTTTTTAGAGGTAGATGTCTGCTTATGGGCTGCTTTCTGGCCGTTTAAATATCTTCAACAACTTTCCCAGAGAACTTGAGCTGGCACTGCTTGCTTGGCTGGGTTGTCAGATTCCTAGATGACTGTTGTGCATGGATTTAACCACATACTAAAACACTGCTGCCTCAGTATAAAAAGGTAATTTGGTAGTATGGTTGTCATGTTTACATACAGTGTTTAAGCCCTTAACTTGTTTGATGTGCCTAAAATTCTTGTTCTCCAAAGTATCATCTGCTTTGGTCTTGTAAGCTAACTGCAAACAACAGTTAAACAGTCCTTTTCTATGCTCATTCCTGAAGTTTGGGTACAGATCCAAACATAAAGTGGTATTATGTGTAAAACAGAATGGAGGTATGGGTGGTGAACCCACACCTGTAATTACCCTGTGTAGCTGTCCCATGTGCTGTCAGTATGTATTTATGGCCGGCTCTGTAAATGCTGGCATCATCGCTTGTCCTGGTGACCCGAGGTAGTCAGCATTGCTGGAGCAGCCACGATCAGTTTTTATGCAGCTGAGGCCAGCTCAGGTAGGACAGGATTCCTGATGGATGGAGTGTGTGGGTGGACAGTCTGGTAAGACTGCAGCTCATAGAGGCCCAGGGTCCCCTTCTGAAGAAACTGCTGCATAGTAGGTGTTCTCCTATCGGGGCCAGCTGGAGGTGGGTGTGACTTGCTGCAGCTGCTTCCATACTCCTGCAGCTTGCTTGGTGACTCAGTACTGGGGCTGGGCACGCTGTGAAATGGGGGCATGCTGCTGAGCTGATAATGTGGGGTTTGAAAGTCTGCGCAGTGAATTTGAGGGGTTTGTTCATGGGTTGGATAGAATTTGCTTTCTGATACTTTATTTATATAATAGCCATATCGTTGGCTCTTTCTCATGTTTGGAAAATGCCTGTTAGATTAGATTCATGGTGGTGGTGTATTGAGGCCACTGTTCAAAAATCACCATGTACATTTTGAGCATGCTGAACAAAATGTAGGGATACTGCATCCATGGTACAGGATTACAGTAAAATAAATGCATTGGTGCTTTCTGATGTTTTGAAGGGACTGTTCAAACAAAGCCATCTGGTAAATTTTCATCTCATTTTTTTTTTCCTTGAAAAAGGGAGATGATTTTACCTCATAGCAGAAATGAATTAAAATATGTCTGTGTTTAATAACCTATAAAAGTACATTAAGAAATTGTAACGATTTTTATCCTAGTAGAAGGACATAGCAAATAAAGACTGAAAGAATGGTTAATACAAAAATAATAAACGGCTATTTCATTGCATAATTGATATCTAAAAAAATTGATACTGTTGGTGTAACTGAGGAGTACAGCCTTGTAATTATGATATGCTGCTTATATCTAGGGGAATCAAATGCATCTATAAATGGTTTTTTGTTGTTGTTAGACATGCCTATCACAACTGTGTAATGGCTTTAAGTATTGCTTTGACAAGCCTAACTTATCCCCATGCTAAGTCATTCTGCCTGTCTCTGAGCATGCAAGATACTTGTGGTGTAGGATTATGGTCTAGCTTTTGAAAGACTGTATGTGTACAAGACTTATTCTGTTTCCCTTATTTTTTTCCCCTTATATCTTCACAGAGAATAATGTACAGTTTTAGCCAGCATAGTGTAGGGAAAGGTTTTGAGGTAGTGCTGGTTCAGGTTGCACTAACTCACGTGTGTGCAAATTGACCTTTAACCTTTGTAGGGTACTAAACAGTTTGGCGGTGGTGTACCTCTTTGCTTTTGTGCTGGGCTGTTTTTCTAACCTGCAGGGTTAAAAGTGGGGAGAAAATGTTTGAAATAGTAATTTTGTCACTGCTTGTGTAGTTAGAAGGTTCAGAAGGCACAATTTGCATTATAATGGCTCTCATTTTGCACCATACTAGGTCATTTAGTCATGTTCTCTGTGTGTAGCTCTTGGAAGACTTTGAAACTATTATTTTATTTTTTTATTTCTCCATTCACTCCTACCTGTCAGTCCTTTACTGTTCTTTGCTGTAAATGCCCATAAGATAAATGTAATGTAATGGAAATGCCCATAAGATAAAGTCTTTGCCATTTTCAAATATTTAGATTCCTGTACGCCTTGGGAAGCTAGTGATACTTCATGTAGTACCCCTGGGTATTGAGATATTTCTCAATAGGGAAAGGAAAAATAAAAGCTGGGAGAGTGTTACATTTGCAACATCTAGGTTTTTCTCTGAAATGTGTAAGAAAGTTATTTTTCTTAGTTTGGTGTAATTTCTGTGAAAATTTAAAATTTTTTAAAAATTCCCATCAAGAGCAATGGAAGAGTTTTTACTTGCTTAGACATTTTAGAGGAATGGGGGGCCTTAAGAGCAGGAAATTTAGAAGAAGATTGCAGAGTGGAGTAAGTGTTCTTGTTTAATTTTAGGTGGAACTGGTGACAGCTTAGACACAAATACAGATCTAAAAGATGTTGAGGATTATCTCCTTTCTTGTTTCAGCTGTTCAGGTGTTTTCACATTGAGGAAAACCAAGTTGCCATGAAGAGTAGTTGGTAGGGAAGCCAGAAGTGGATGGTGGTTGGCAGCTTACTTTTGGTGTTCTAGATGTCAGTATCTTGATTGCAAAGACTGAGGTGCAAGAAAATTTAGTCTGCTTAGTGTACATAAACAGAAATAGTTACCTAGAACTAATAACAAGTAGTCTCAAAAGAAAACAGCAGTTTTAAGCAAACAGCATTGCTTCAGTAAACTTAAAACCTGATTTTATGCATCTAACCATGTAGGCTGTTGATAAGCCTATTTAAGTTTTCTGATCTAATGTTGAGGAAAAATATCTGTTAATTTCTGCATTGGCATGTTAAGACTCTTAAAAGCATGAAAATTATACAGGCTATTTGTTTGCTAGTAATGGAATAAAATTTGAGTTAGACCAGTGAAGGGACATACTACATTACTCTTAATTATAAAATCAAAGTGAATTTTATGCTATGTGAAAAAGAAACATGCCTGTGGTCTCTTGAAATACTTCTGCATCTGAACTATGCTGTGATCCAAGTTTTGCACAACTTGCCTTCTTCCCTCCTCTTTCCCCTTCCACCTTCTTCGAATGCAAGACGGTTGATTTCTTTGAAAGCATACATGGTGAATAGCCTCTCTCTTTTCTTTCAGGGACCAGTTACTCTCCACAAGAAAATTCACACAACCACAGTGCTCTTCATAGTTCAAATTCACATTCTTCTAATCCCAGCAATAATCCAAGCAAAACTTCTGATGCAGTGAGTATTTGTGATTGATTTTCATCTGTGTGTTGCCCTGTTCATACTCACCATATATTCATAATTTTGCCTAAGACACACAGCATGTACATTGTGCTTGAGTTTTCCAACATCAGTCTTTGTTATATAAACACTCTGTAAACCCAACTTGCAGTTGTCATGTTTAAAACTATTCTAATTGGGCATCATTAGAGCTTTGAGTTACTGGTCAATAATTTTAAAATACTTGATTATTTAAATGACATAGATACAGAAGTATTTTCCATTAACTCTGTGGTAAATCTAGAGTAGACAGTATGATTTTACTTATTTGAAATACCTTACATATTGTGAATTTTAGTCACTCTGGTATCAGAGTTTTAGTAGTTATGAGTGGTGTTCGTAAAAAATTGCCCAAAATCAAAATTGGTAAATTGGTGATCAGTAGAAAAATTTTGGAAGATAATAATTTTGAGGGTGTTGTAAGGTGAAGGAAACTAATGTTATCAGTGTTGACCTTATTGTATCCCACTAAATGTACTGTTAGATTTTGTTACAGCATTTGATGGGAATAAATCAAAGAAAACTGTTGCAGAATTCAACAGGAGGATAACTGGTCATGTGTTCAAGCTATCAGTGAAACAGGCATTTAGAAGTTGTGGAAAGTAACAATATGGGTACATAAAAGGGTGCCATGTAGCTTTAAAAACATTGAACAGTGAAATCTCTTTTAATTATTAAAACTACTCTAAAGTAGTGCTTTGTACAATACTGTACAACATTTGTATTTTAAAGGCTTACGATTCTGCGGATGATTGGTCTGAACACATCAGCTCTTCAGGCAAAAAATATTACTACAACTGCCGAACAGAAGTTTCACAATGGGAAAAACCAAAAGAGTGGCTGGAAAGGTATATATTTTTATTTGTTTTAATTGTATAAAAAACAAGTATTCTTTAACACATTTCAGAGCAGTTGAACTTATCGAATAGATTACTGCTATAAAAGATTGTGCTCTAAGTCTGCTGTGTTCCTACCCTTACCGTGACCTCTGGCACCTCTTTCAACCCTTGACAATCCAGAACCTGAGAGGAGAGTATGGTTGGTTTGTGTGGGGGTGATTTTATTAGGTGGTGTTGTTGCAGGGGGGAGGTGGTTGTTGGTTGGTTTGGTTTTTGTTTTGTTCTGGGGTTTATTTGTTTGTTTTGGTTGGGGTTTTGTTTTGGTTTTTTTGCTGAGTGTTGTTTTTAGTGTTTTGTTTTGTTTTGGGTTTTTTGTTGGGTTTTTTTTTACAAGATTAGTGAGCTGAACTGGTGTATTGTGGGCTTCAGCAAGCACAGATAAAAGGAAGCAGTGGCTGGAGTTTGCTAACCCCACCTGTAGCAGAAAGCTCTTAACAGTTTAATGCATCTCATGAAACTTATGGAAGCTGTTCAATTAGATAATGTAAGTTCTTACCTAACTTTTGTTTTCTTTTATTCAGAGAGCAGAGACAAAAAGAAGCAAGCAAAATGTCAGTTAACAGTTTTCCAAAAGATAGGGATTACAGAAGAGAGGTGATGCAGGCGACAGCTGCCAGTGGGTTTGCCAGTGGAAGTATGTGGATTTTTTATAGTACTATATTCTTGCCTTGTTTGCATTTCTGTTTTCCAAACTTCAAAAATTTTTAAAAACCCCTTTTCTTTGCTCTTTTTCTCACTTTTTCATATATAAAAGCGAAAGTGGATAGCACAATTAACTCTCCCAAGTGTTGTTTCTTTAAATAACTTTACTAGTGCAACACTTGCTTCATGATGCTCCTCCTTCTTGTGGCTTTTACTGTCGGGTTTAATTATCTTCATGGTTAGTTACTTAAACAACTTGCATAATCTGTAGTTCAGTTGGACTGTCATGATCATTGAGACCTGCTAATGTCATATTCTGACCTTAAAAATAAAGCTTTCACAACTAAAAATAATAACTTAATTCAATGGATTTTGATATCAGGGTTTTTAGAGGCTTGTGTATGTTATTGAGAGCGTATTTTGACCTCACCAGTAGTCTCAGCAAAATCTTTCCTGGACTATAAATTTCTGTAACTTGGAGATTTTTGTTCTGATACCTAGCTTTAATCTTTATCAATTTTCTTCTGGAAAATAGTTGTACGGTGAGATTCTGTCTGCATGCTGATGGAGTTTGGGTAAATTTGTAGCATGGTTCTCAGGGTGGTGTAAAAGTAGAAGCCAAAGTATTATTCTTCACCTGTGCTCTTTGGATTTGACAAGGTAGAGATGTATAAAGAGGTATTTTTCTGTGTACACTGAAACTTAGTGCATATTCTAAAGTATACTGGATGTTGCAAAAAGATAGCAGCCATGCATAATGCAGTGAGCATTTGTTTTGTGACAGGTGAGAATGTAAGAATCTATAATAATAATTACTCTGTGTTTACTTGGTATGTTCAGTGACTAGCATATTTTAACATCTGTGATCATGTGACCAGTGCAGATTAGTCATTAATTTAATATATATAAATGTCTTGAATTAACTGTAAGTAAGTTTGTTGTAGTAATACTCAAGTGGCATGAAGAGGAATTCTTCGAAGGCTAGAATGTGAAACTATGAAATTATACTTGATGTTCAGGGTTTTTGATGAACAAAAGGAAAACGGCACAAATTATTTCTTCACACTTAATACAAGATGGAAATAATAGATCTTGATTTAGATCTTTTTAGGAGACTTCAAAAGTTAACTTGACTGTAGCACTCATTATAAAGCAGCCTTTCATCAAAACACAGTGCTTAACCGGGACTCTAAATCAAGCAAAGGTCAGAGAAAATGCATTTTGTCAGTGAGTAGAATTAAATTTTGCCTTTTTTGACGCTGATCTACTTGAGGCTTGTTTTAATCATAAGAAGTTCAATCAGCTCTAGTTGTTGGTGTGCAGCTGTGTTAATCACTGCAATCTTAGACTTGTTTCTAATTTAATCTTTTTTTTTCTTATTGCAACGTTACTTGGGGAATCCTGAAAAAAAGTGGAAGACAAGCATTCCAGTGACACCAGCAGTATGCTCCCACAGAATATTTTATCTCAAACAAGCAGGCACAATGACAGAGACTACAGACTGCCAAGAGCAGAGACTCACAGTAGTTCTACTCCAGTACAGCATCCCATCAAACCAGTGGTTCATCCAACTGCTACCCCAAGCACTGTTCCTCCTAGTCCGTTTTCTCTACAATCGGATCACCAGCCAAAGAAATCCTTTGATGCTAATGGAGCATCTACTTTATCAAAACTGTCTACATCCTCATCTTCCATCCCTGCACAGAAAACAGAGAGAAAAGGTATGTCTAATGAAATTTCCTCTAGTATTCAAGATGATGCATTGCATTACATTGCTTGTTTGAAGTATGTTAGTACTAGAATTTAAAGACTTTTTTTCCTGTTTGATTGTATGTGCTTAGAACCTGATTAGTGTTTTGATGTGTTTACTTTCCTGTAAACCCCATTTGCTATATCTTCTGCAACTTCAAATTGACACTCTGATATTTACTATTTACTGGCTTGTTCTGCAGATTAACATTTCAAATGAAGATTTGAAAGATGTATTTTTGTAGGACATATTTTAATTCTTGTCTTCTCTCTTGTTGTTTTGCATTTTTGCCATTTATTTGAGTTATGCAGTTACACTATTTGAAAGTCATTTTGGACCATTATGTTTTATGAACTGCTGTTACTGTTTAGAATGCCAGTGTCAAATCTTTCAATCAATACAAGCACAATTCCTACAGAAAGCGAGAGTTTTCTACATGTTTGTAAGAGCTAATCTGCTTTGATCTGTATCTTGAGAAATACCAGATCTTCAGTTCTAAATCTGCTGATAGTATGTGTTTCTGTTACCTGGTAATACCTGTTGGATACAGTTAGAGTCAACTGAAAATCAGAGGACTTCACTGTGCATTGTTTGTGACCTTTCAGACATCTGTCTTTTAGTTAAGACTTACTTCATTATTAGGGATGAAGAGCTCAAGAAAACTGTGAGGATGAGATGTGTTTCATTAATGATACCGTGTTACTTTGGTGTAGCTGAATTTTAGAGAGTGGTATTGTGTAAGAAAATTCCATTTTGAGGGCTTTGGGAGGGAGAAGAGTAGTTTTTGATAATCATGTGTTTTGGTTTAAAGTATTGCATCATTAATATGTAATTGAATTCTTTCTTGAAGGATGGCTTGTTGCCCTTTCCATACTTGCAAGTTGGCCTAGTCAAATAGTTTCAATAAGAAGACCAAAACAGACTCTGGCCTGACACTGGTTTTGTACTCTGTGTTTAAGTCTTCCACTTTTGTATATTTAAGAGTTCCAACTTCTACACAGGCTTAAGAACAGCTGGCCATCCAAAATATTCAAGCAATAGCATACACTGACAAATACTGTAAGACAATTGTGCATGTAAAGAACTTTTTAAATGTTTTTTTCTTGACACTTTGTGCAATTTTTTGATATCCTGGGTTATAAATACTGACTATAAACTACAGAGGAACAGGTTATTTTCAGCGAGCCTTTTCCTATTCAACAGAGTAAAGCATGAAGTAAGGTGTTACAGTTCAGACATGGTTCTTGTACAGAGTGCAGCAGTTACCTGCTTCAGTTAAGCCTCTTATTTTCTGATTGCAGTTTGATGCATTTGTACGCATTACAGTGCAAAACATCCATGTAAAGGAAGTGTTCCTTCCTTTAGTGTTTCTACTCTTTTCCATTTCTATATTTAAAATACACTTAAAACTTCTCTTATTATTCTATTCTGACATGTTCTTGATTCCTGTTTGGTGTGTGACCGGATTTTCATACATATTCTTTGGTTGCTTTACTGCACGTCTTTATTAATTGAACAGCTGACTCTTATAGCAATTGAAGGTACCTCCATTCTGACAGCCACTACAGATGTTGGCAGAGTTCTGATACTTCATACGTACAACATTAATTTGAGAACATTACAGCATGGTGTAATACTGAAAATAATCACACAGGGCAGTCTTGATACTGTAAATCTTACTTTAGAATCCATATTACCATGGATGGTTTCATATTAAAAAAATCACTGAATTTCTGTGTTCTTAGATAGGTGTTTCTTTAATTTTATATGGGTTAAATCAATAGATTCTCTGTAATAATTATGCCTCATTGGTCTATTTCATAGCAATTGATTGTGAGCAAATTTTGTACTTACCAAGCTTCAGAAAAGAGTAGATTACAGAAAGTTAGTAGATAATTAAAGATTTAGAATAGATGAATGTTTGGCTTGAAATTCTTACTCTAGAAAATGTGAGTTTTTACATGTTGCTTTACCTCTTGTACAGAAACAGAAGAATTCAGTGCACGTGCTGTCATGATAAAAGGTCATCAAAAAGTACATTCAGTTGACTTTTCTTTTTCTGGGGAATGTTGACCTGTCTTTTTAAGGAAATTAAACCAGAAAAATTTCTGTAGCATTTTGTATATTTGAATTTTTAAAAAGGCAAGAAGCAATGCTTTGGATGATTTACTGTTACTCATTCTCTGGGAGGTGACTGTGAACCTGCAGTACTAGAAGTATACAGTTTATGAAGTATTTTTTGTAGCTGTTACACAAGTTGAAAATACAGTAATTGTCCTGAGACACTTGGTTCAAACACTCTTCTAAAAGTGTCTTTGCAGAACTGAAAAATAGTTTTAGAGGTTTATGTTTACAGTAGTAAAGCAATAGCCTTTGGTCTTCTTTTTCTGTTCACTGGCTGCTATCCCTCTCTCTTACTAAAAAGGGGTAAAACTGGATTTTTTTGCATATAAAAATAGGTTGGTCCAAATGACTGAATAATATGTGCAGTAGTTCTTCCTTAAATGAATTCTTGTTTCTTGTGAATGTGTTTCTGGCTGCCTTATGCCAGCATATATGTACCACTGTTTTAATAGTTCTGATTTCAGTGTGTATTTTTTTAAGCAGTAATAGTTTTGAACAGCAAAACAACAGAAAAACACAAAACCCAACAACAATGCTTTTTTCAGCTCAATCTCTTTTGCTGCAGGGGTATGTTGTAGTCCCACAAGGAGATTGAATAAAATCCCTGGCTGAACTATAGCTCAGCTGTTAGCAGTAGTCCTCTGCCCTCAATGGCTGGCAGTAGTGGAGAGTTCCTGGGGAACTATTTGACCTCTACCCTTTGGTTTGAATGTTCCAGTCAGAATCTGCTGCTTCTGTTTGTGCTCACTGTGAGTGCTTTATGCAGGTAAAGTGTGGGGTTGCTTTTCCTACTTTTTGGCTGCTTTATCTGTAGGGCACATCACATTTTCCTATTTCTAATTCAGAATGAAATGTTGTATTGTCCGTATCTTAACAGTATGTCTGTCTGTAGGATACTGCTTCTCACACCTTTCCTCCGAGTCCCATCAGGCAGCACTTCTGTTTCTAGTGTAGCAGTACTCTAAAACTTCTTTGAGAACACAGCAAGCTGGCCAGTGCAGTTCTGGGTGGGTTGTGCCTCTGGTGCTTTTTTTTCCTTTTCTCACCCTTGTGGTTTTCTTGTAACACTCGCTAGTCTTTAGTGGTCAGTTATTAACATTGCTTCTGGTATTGTTGCATCTTCTTTGGCTGAGTTTTGCAGTTTCAAGTATATTACTCAATTCATATGTCAGTTAGAAAAAGTTAACACATGAGACTGTTAGTTTCTTCCAATATTTTATACTTGTTTGTTGAACATTGTTGTTACATTTATTTTGACAGCAGAGGTAAAATACAAAAAATCCAGTTTTAAGACTGGAGTAATCCAAATGTGAGAAATAGGGATTTTTTTTGTACTTCAGGTAGTTTGAATATTTTTGAAAATCTAGTTGCTATCAACAATCTATATTGTTACTATAGTTTCATTTAGTCAAAAGTATTTATAGAATGCATTTCTTTTAAATATTTATTTAAATTATTATTAAATATTTATTTAAAGTTGCTTTTAAATATTTAGGTATTTTTGTTGTGGCTTACAGTCCCTGGTAGAGAAGAACTGAACTATGTAAAACAGATAAATGTGCCTGTCAGTGTTCAGAGAGCTTAACTGGTGGACTGTATACTCCAGGTGCTTCAGCACAAAAAATGTGTTATGATTCTTAATCATCAGCAGTAAATAAAGCAATTCTGTTAGCTGTTCTGGGTAGTAGTTTTTTAATCAGTGAAGCAGAGATGAGGTTGATAGGGCAACAAGATACAGATTTCTGAAAATTTTGTAATGCAGTTTTCCTCCCACAGAGAGCACACTGTGAGAGCACGAGCCTAGTAGTTGCTAGCAGTGCAAAGATAGCAGCTCAAGCTCACAATAGAGTGGTTGGGTAATAATATAGTGTTGACTCCAAAGGACTTTGGTTGCATTTGTTTTGTTTTAAATGGGATAAAAACTACATTAGTAGTAAAAGCTCAAAGGGTGTTTTAATAGTTTAGGAATCATCTAGTCAACAGCAGTCAGTAATTTCCATGTCATTAGAAATAAATCTGTGTTGCTATAAGTCAGAATAAGAGCAAGCTAATATATAGCATTAATTTAAAGCTAGTTATGCAGGGAGTACTGGTATGTTAGCTGTCAGAAAGAGGCTACCAAAAAAGGTTTTTCCCAGTTTTGTTCTTTTTTCCACATCCACTTCTCTGTCCCACTGATGTGCCTGAGGAGCTCAGCACACCCTGGTGAAGAGGAGAGTGAGCAAGTTACAGGTGCTCACAGGACTCCAGCAGACAGAGCAGGGTGGCAGAGAGGCACAGCAGAGGTGTGGGACTGTCAGTGTCAAACCTCTTCATTGAGGCAGAGTAGCTGAAGTGTCAGAAGGCTTGAATTTCCACCCCCTTGCATTCAAGTTTGTAGGCTCAGGGTTCCCTTTCAGAAGGTCAGTCCTGGCATATCAGCTGTTTGCTTAGGAGCAAAAATTCTTGTCATAAGGGGCAGAGATAGGTGATGGCAAGATTCAGTAGCATGTTTGTGTTCTGACTCAAACTGAGAAGCTAAGGGCGCTTAGAAAAAACTGAAGATTGTTTTTGCACAACTGCTGAGACGGGTTATTTTTTTTTTTGAAAGAAAAAAATTTGGCCATGTTATTAAAAAATTCCCACTGCTTGGAAGCATCACACCAGAAAGTTCCCATTCTGACTTGACCTGGTGTTTCTACTTCAGCAAAAACTTAAACTGCATCTTGTGTCATACAGGTTCTTGCCATATGAAATTCTGACTGGTAACTTGGATTTCTTTCTGTTTTGTCCACAAGAGGTGATTGTGGGTCACACTCCCAGCAGAGAGGGTTATTAATAGAAAGCCCTTCCCTAATCAATGTTGTC